AGATCTTAAATAAACAATGTCACGATATGAGATAATCCATTATAAATTAAGTGGATTTAATGTGGTATTAATTGTGCGTTCTAAATAATCATACTCTTAAAAGTTATAACCACAGATGCTTAAGTATTACAATGTATTATAATTGTTGTTATGATTATGTATGAGATGATACAACATGTTAGAAGGTTTTTTATAATGCATTATGCATTCATTATAATCACTTAAGAATATCCTTATAATGTATTCTTAATACGGGCTTCATAGAAAGTTACTCCGATATTTTTAAAAGACTTAATTAGATTTCACTGTGAGCAACATGCAGTTCTATAGTATCAAATTCGCTTACATTACAGCAAGATTTACTTTATATAACTAAATTATGAGACTAATAAATATATTAAAATCATCGTAAATTAATTTAAAATTATGCATATTACAATTACAAAATTCGTACAGCATAGCTATCATCACTTCACATTTAGAAAGTTTGAAAATACAAAGCAGCCTATTTTGAAACAAACAAACGTATAAATAAACAAATACATACATAATAGTAACAGGAGAAACAAGTAGTTGCGGCGATGTTCTTCAAAAAGACCAGGATCAATTCAGAACCACGGACAGCTCCACAAAAGAGCGAAAATGTGGTATTATGCAAAAATAATAATATTAAGCCATTCCTGTAAGTCTGTTTACTTCAGCAAAAAAAATAAAAGTCTAAAATGTGATCTTGATCTGTCTTTCTAAGCGAGTAAACGATCTCACTATTGATGTCCTCATCTTTGTCTGTTGCGTTTAAAATGATCAGAGTGGTACCAATTGGCAAGTTTTCAACAAGACTAGCTTTATATAAAGGGCGACTGAACTCAGGAGCATTATCATTATTATCTAAAACTCTAATAAGTATTTGAGATGTGCCTGATCTCGGTGGATAGCCTCCATCTGCAGCGGTCAGTGTGAGCTGGATCACAGCCTGTTTCTCTCGGTCTAACGCTTTTTGTAGAACTAGCTCGGCAGAGACACTCTGCTCTCCTCCTTTGTGCACAGCTAAAGAAAAATATTCATTTTGGCTTAGTTTATATGTGTTCACAGTATTTTTTCCTACATCCGCATCAGACGCATAAGAAAGAGGGAATTTTACTCCTGGTGAAGTGTTCTCTGCGATGTCTAAATACTGAGTTTTTTCACTAAAAGTTGGGGCATTGTCATTTACATCCACAATATTAATTTCTATTTGATACAGCTTCAGTGGATTGTTGATAACCGCTTCTACATTGAGTGTACATTTTGGTGCTTTGGCACAAAGCTCCTCTCTGTCTATTCTTTCGCTCACATACAGAAACCCAGTTTTTAGATTTACCTCGAAATATTTTTTCTTGGATCCCGTGACAATCTGAAACATGCGCGATTCCAGTTCCTGAACATTAAGGTTTAGATCCTTAGCGATATTTCCCACTGATGTTCCCGGATTCACCTCCTCTGATACAGAATAAGAGAGCTGCCCTGATACCGCGTCCCAACAACACTCTAAAACAACGAGCACAATACAGGCCACAATAGATTTCCTTCTGTACGGCGAGAACATTATTACATCCAGTGAATCCCGTGCAGTGATCCACGAAATAAAAGACGGTATTCCAAGTCCATCAATGCGAATAAAGAAACATTAGACAATATTCCATTTTAGCGAAGAGAAAACAGGAGGCCTTCGGACACTCTCTTAAACGTCCAGTCTCTGAAACAAAGCCGTGTGAAGTCTCCTCCCAGCTAAAACCAGGAGGGGCTTCCAGACACTGGAGACAGCTCGAAATTCAACGGGCTATAGTGACACCACGCGGATTAATGAATTCATATCCACCAAAAACCCTAATACCACAAACATACCATCATATCAAATTGCAGATATGTCTTTTTTTTATTTTATTTTTACTAATACTAAAAGAAAATGTATAGTTTTTTTTTTTGGTGTGTCCAACATATTAGAGGATATGGGGGCATTTTAGGCATTAAAAAATCTATTTTGCATTTGCATGTTCTGTATTCATCTTTCATATTAAGAGATATTTTTAAACGACTTAACTAGATTTCACTATGAGCAACATAATCTTCTATAACATCAAATTCTCTTATATTACTAAAAGTATGCCTTTATATAACTAAATAATTAAACGAATATATTAGCATTATCATAAATTAAAATGTATGCGTATTACAATTATTCATTTGTGCAGCATCGCTATCATTTCACATTTAAGCAAGTTTGAAAATTCTGGTTACAATGCACTATTTTCAAACAAATGAATAAATTCGTATTAATAACAGGAAAAATAGAAGTAGTTGCAGCGATGTTCATCAAAAAGACACCGACTAGTTCAGAACCACGGACAGCTTCGCAAAAGAAAATACAATTTGGTTTTACTATGCGATAGTAATATATTAAGTCTGTTTACTTCAGCAAAACACTATTAACCATAAAGCCACTTTTAACATTTTAAGTCTCAGAATTTGCTAATGTAACTGTCAATAAAAACAAGTCAATGAGAGGAAACACTAATCCCACTAATTTTACAAAACGAAAACAAAGAATCGCAATGATATGCGATAGTAATATATTAAGTCTGTTTACTTCAGCAAAACACTATTAACCATAAAGCCACTTTTAACATTTTAAGTCTCAGAATTTGCTAATGTAACTGTCAATAAAAACAAGTCAATGAGAGGAAACACTAATCCCACTAATTTTACAAAACGAAAACAAAGAATCGCAATGAAAATAATTCAATCTCTTACCTTTTCTTTGTTAGGAAGTGTTTGTGTTCTGGTAAAAGTGTCTCCTCCATTAATACTGATCAGTTCTGCATCTGCAGGCGGAAATGACGCAGGGAACACCACCACGTCACTCTTCAGTGTGTCCGAGTTAAAACACACGTCATACTGCTGAGCAGATTTGGAGTAAGACCAGCTCCCGTCAGGGTGTGTGGTGACCATCGGGGCGCTGTACCTGCCCAAACTCCTGTCTGTCCTGTGGCATTTCACAGCCATCAAACTGATGAGACTCAGTAAAAAGATGACGGACACGCACACAATGGCGATCAGCAAATACAGATTTAAATCCGAGAAACTCTCCTCTTTTATCGGCGCGTGTCTGAATGTGGTCTTGTCGTCACCTGCGCTTTCAACAACCACAACATCAATAGACACAGTCGCTGACAGTGAGGGCTCTCCGTTATCACAAACCAAAATGACCAGCGGGTGAGTTTTCAGGTCATTGTCACTCATTCTCCTCTTAGTCCTGATCTCCCCGCTGCTGGTTCCGATTCGGAACAGATTGTTTCCTTTGGGTTCAGAGATGTGGTAAGACAGCAGCGCATTGTAACCAGAATCTGCATCTACAGCCCTGATCTTGGCCACAAAGTAGCCC